CATTGTGAGAAGAAGGTGAATCAAGCTACGAAACTTGTAAGTCTTATAAGAAGGTAGTTTAGATATCTGGATGGTTCACCGCTTGCCACAATCTTCAAGAGTGAGGTGCTTCCCCGTCTGAAGTACTGTCACCCCCGTCTCGTCCCCGAGATGTGCTAGATACTGCCAACTGATTGAAAATATCCAAAGGAGGGCCACCAGACTGGTGTCTGCACTACGGAACCTCATCTACCCAGAGAGATTAGAACGCCTGCAACTGCCTAGCTTATACAACAGACGGGCGAGAGGCGATCTAATCGAAGTGTATAAACATCTCAGAGGGCACTACTCTGTCAAATGTACATACCTGGAGCTGGCGGACGCTCTCCCCATAAGGGGTCATAGCTCAAGGTTGAAGAAGCCACAAGTTCAGAAAACTGTAAGGGCAAACTTTTTCATAATGAGAATTTTGAACTCTTAGAACAATCTGCCGGAGAATGTTGTGACAGCACCGAATGTGAGCTCTTTCAAGGCCAGACTTGACCAACACTGGAGCAGGTTCAGATACATTCAGGAGCCAGTTCCTGCCCAGTACTTCCCAACAGTGTGTAACAGAGACGTGACCGATCGCTGAGGCGGCTAACGAACCGATCAGTGGCGAAGAGGATAAAGGTAAAAGTATTATAAGTTTGTTATGAATAGATTAGTTAACCTTTTAATATTTCTCTCAATATTAGATTTCAAAGAAAATGTACATGATTCTGAAAGTTTAAGGTAAACTCTCCACTAACAAGTTGTTTTGAAGGTTTTAAAACTGTACAGTAAAGTAAACATCGCGTCCGCCACCTGGAAATTACTAAAAATACTGAAGTTAATAACCCTGGAGTGCCCCATGTCGAAATACAAAGTAGTGAAGACTGACTCTCTTTAATTCACATTTACTCGGCCTCTTCCAAGCGAGGTCTTGCTTCCCAAGTAATTCCCAACACCATCAGGACCTTGAGCCCTCTCCTGAATGTGTCGCTGCTGAGGTTAACTATAGACGAAGGCTTTCTGACCGTACCGTATATCCAGGTCGTCAGCTGCTTCCCTGGCACCGTTATTCGACGCTACAGCGGGCGAGGTAATGGCTCAGTGCTCTGGAGTCGAACATTATATTTTAACCTGCCGCAATAACTGAGTTGTCTAGAATGTAAATGGCATATCTCCAAAACGCCTGTTTTGAGTAAATCGTATTTAGTGTTTTAAGTTTATGTACCGTGGAAACTACTGCATGGATTTTAATGAAACGTTCCACAAAAGTTGGACCATATACAGTAAGTGATGTTGCCTGTGGAAAAATTGAGCCCCATGCCACTTTCTCAAACGTCTCCCCACCCCCCCCCCTCCCCCTCTAAAAATAAAAAATAAATCAATAAAAATCACCAAATTTTCACTAACTGGGTATATTAGTTACGTGTTCTTCCAATGGCATTCTCGACCTTGCGGCGGCGTAAGCGACACTCAGACAGACTTGATCATGTAGAACAAAGGCCAGAGAACACGCCTGTGGCCATATCCCCAAATCGTGATTTTGGCGCTTACACCACTCCCATTATAGGGACCTCAATTGTAAAATAATATTATATAAGGGCAAATACAAATTTAGGCTCTGTGTGTGTGTGTGTGTGTGTGTGTGTGTGCACAGGGTGGTGTAATACATCTAGTGTGGCAGCATTATGTTTGTGTTAAGGCGTAGGCACTGCTTGCTTCCTCAGCTACCACAGCTGGCTAGCCCTCGAGGTGAACAAGGAAGCAGCCTTACGTAAGTCTTCCCTTACCAGTACACAGCCTCTTCACCATTAAGACTCCTGCTGTGCCTCCTCATAGCAACACACGGTAACTGGGTGCCTCGCGACCCCAGGCTAGACCAGCAGTGGGGCCCAGAGGGCCGACGCATAGGCCCACCGGCATGTAGAGACGCTTTGGCACCTACCAACCACTGAATCGGGAAAACGGAGAGCAAAAATGTGTGGTTGCAGCTCTTACCTCACCACATAAATTAACTCACGCGCAGCCATCATCCAGCTCATCATACTTTTCATCATCATCAAAACACCTAAACCCCAAAAAGTCTTAGGGCGACAGGTGAGTGGCGACAGGTGAGTGGCGACAGGTGAGTGGCGACAGGTGAGTGGCGACAGGTGAGTGGCGACAGGTGAGTGGCGACAGGGACAGCCAGAGATGACTGCCGGGAGTCTCTAGTCACAGCTCTGCACATGGACGGTACAGATAAGATGGTCGGTTATGCACTGGACTCTAGACAGCAGTGCAACCCTGTCCTGTTTGTGCGACTGAGCAGCTCTTTCCGAGGAGCCACTCTGCTCATCCCACATGGAGAGGAGGCTACAGAAGGTGCCCTAAGCATATATAGCCCGCCTAAAAACAACCTGACTGGGCAACCGCACCCAGTAAGGTCATCCCAATGCTGTAGTAAACACAATAACAATCACAGGTCAAACCAAAAAACAAACCATACAACCTTTTATGGTCGCAGCAGTGAATGTCAGGACCCTTCTGAATGCTGGCACAAATAAGCATCATATCAAGGCACTTGAAACGTTTCACCAACATAGTCTACGTTCCATCATCTGGGTTCGCTGGAAAGACAAGAGAACAAATGCCAGTATTCTCACTGACACCAACTGTAGAAGCATCGAGGCTACCATTATCCATAAGCAACTACGTTACCCGCATGGACGACAGTAGACTACCAAAGCAGCTATTTTAGTCACCTAACGAATAGTACATGTAGGCGGGCAACGGAAAAGGTATACGAATAGCCTTAAGACAAACCTGAAAAAGTGCCAAATCGAACCCCTCACCTGGGAGACGATCACTCCACACCGTAACGCTTGGAGGGGCACCACACGAGTTGTCAATACTTTCGAGTTAGCCCGACTGTATACCGAGGCAGACAAGCGCCAACGCCAGAAAGACGCTGCCGCCGCCCTACCCGTAGATGTAGCCCTCCACTCGTGTATCATCTGTGGGCGGTCCTGCCGGTCCCGTATCGGCTTTTCGAGTCACATCAGAGCTCACCAACGAAGGTGACATATTTAATAAGTCATATCATTGTTTCATGGCTGGATGATCGTCATGTACTCGATTCCAAGTGACAGAAAGTAGTAGTATTTGATTTTGATATTGAAACAGTTTATTTAGCCAGAAAAATACAGATACAGAGAGAACAATAATAACAATATTAACATGGCTGAGTCAATTAAGGGCCTGAGCTCGCTTAATGGCACCTGATATATACAGTACATTTATCTCGAGTAATTATTATAACATTTAGTATAATCTGGATAAGTACATGTAACATGGTGTAAGTAAACACATATGAGCATGTTACCTGATAGGTGAGGGAAGTAATACAACATTAGTTTGTGTTAGCGTGAAACAAGGAGACACACACACACACAGTCAGGATAATGGCTTGACGGCAAACATATAATTATTGCACTGGTAATTTCTACCTACGTGGCAATATATGTCGCAATAATTTTGATGGTAAGGTACAGTAAGTGTAGTAACGTGTGTGTGTGTGTGTGTGTGTGTGTGTGTGTGTGTGTGTGTGTGTAATCCTCTAAGAGTAACGTGTTAAGAGAGGGTAGATACTTGCGTGGGGTCATGGTGGGTGTACTGGAGGAAGGTTTCAGGGTGGGTAGGTGGGTTAATAGTGGATGGGTGTGTAGGGTGGGTTAATAGTGGATGGGTGTGTAGGGTGGGTTAATAGTGGATGGGTGTGTAGGGTGGGTTAATAGTGGATGGGTGTGTAGGGTGGGTTAATGGTGGATGGGTGTGTAGGGTGGGTTGATATGCAGACTGGACGACAGAGAGCTTGAATTATTATCACAGTCATGGAAGGAGTAAACGTGGCTTTCTTACCAATAATACAAATTAAAGTTTTATTTAATCAATTTTGAACGAGATAAGTCACTATACAATCTTTAACTACAGATATATGAAAATACTGGACCACGAATACCCTCTCCCATGAATATTGGTTTAACATTACACAAGTTTAAAACAAGTGGGATATTCTGTCTGTCATTCCTGTAAAGATTATGCCTCAGTTTACTGTAGGTGAGAGAGAGAGAGAGAGAGAGAGAGAGAGAGAGAGAGAGAGAGAGAGAGGGAGAGAGGTACATTCTCAATACACAAATAGTCATCATGTATCATCCACGGTGAATAATACATCGACTATAGGAGGGAACAACTCAAGCCACTCGTGAAATATGACAAGTTATCCAACACACCTGGCAGGGCAATACAAGATAATGTTCGGGGGGCTCTTCCTACACTACACCACTGTACTGAAGAAAGAGTATTCTGTGCGTCATGAACAGAGGAGCTCGTATACAAATAACGTAAGGAATAACTCTAGAAATGCGAATGGTTTTCTCTATGGTTGGAAATAAGTACAGAGCATCAATGAGCACCTTGGTATTGTGTGACCATCATCTTGACGGCTGTCCATCCACGCCTACAAGTGAGACAGCTGCGCACCTCACATTCCACCAACTTTATTGTTAGGTGGATGGTTCGTTTTCCTCGTCTTAAAAGAACTGACGTCATACGGTAACATTTTTTTTTACGTGTTCTTGTTTGTAATATGAGTAATACATAGCTAAGTGACATCTTTATACATTATTACCATTATTGTTTCCCTTTTGTTCTCTTATTCGTTTTAATTAGGAGGGAAGGTATAAAAGAACAGTAAGATAATATATATATATTCATTTACAATTTTAAGGCATTCCTGCAAACAAAATTGGTGTTAAGGTAAACTAAACTGTACCGCTACCGTTATAATTTTAAGCATTGGTTTCACCTTTACACTATGTAATGACTCAGACGTGGCAAGGTGACCCGTTAGTGGAGGAAGACAGTAACCTGAAATTCTTAATAAAGAGAACAGATGGTCCTCAAGTGAGTGCCCACGGACAACAGCTGGTGCCTTATTGAGGACAAGGAGCATGTCGTTTAGAGTTGAATCACTGGTATGTACTCCAAGAAGCGTGAAGCGAGGAGCTACCAGTGTATCGAGTATTACAGCAAGTGTGAGTGTAAAGACTCAAAATATCGAATCGTAGTTAGGGAACACTGACAGTATTTCAGAGGAAAGAACATTCTATAAACAATTTCAAGAAATTGCATCTCTTCCCTAAATTGAAACTTAAATGTCCTAGGGGTGGTTATATAACTTATTCTAAATATTTTACAAACAGTGAATATCCATAATTTAGCCCTAAATTTGTTATTTATAATAATGTGACAGCAATTACAGAAGACATCATCAAGAGGAAAGTAGAGCGAAAATCTCGTTTGTTACCTTCCTTAATACTTTGGTCCACTCCTGGGGGTTAAAATTCTTTCTGGCTGGAACAAGATAAAGAAGCCACAAGTACAGAAATTTATCAAAGCAAACTACTTTGGAGTAAAGACTGTGAACTCTTGGAATAAACTGCGAGACGGCACCGTGTCTGGGCTCACTTACGGACTGACTCGAGTAACACTCGTGATAAAGGAGGTACCAAAGGAGATTTGCACTCCACTAAGATTCTTATTCAGGACTGCAAATCAGCCAACGTCACCCCAGTACACAAGAAGGGTATGAAAAGTGCAGCAAAAAACTACAGGCCTATCAGCCGAGCATCACATATACGCAAACTCCTTGAGACAATTCTGAAGGACGCCATAATTCAACACCTGAGCGAGCACAGTCTCATCAACGCATCACAACACGGTTTCATGGAAAGAAAATCCTGCCTGAAAAACTTACTCACGTTACTTGAAACGATAACAGACTACTTGGACCAAAGCTTAGTAGTGGATGTGTTGTACATGGATTTCTCCAAGACGTTTGTTAAAGTTCCGCATGCACGACTAGCCTCTAAGATCCAGGTATATGTCATCACAGGCAAGATTTTGAAGTGGATTAACAGCTGGCTCGAAGACAGGCAACAAAGTGATAATAAATGGAGTACATTCTGAATGGGAAAAGGTTCTCAGTGGAGAACCACAAGGCTCTCTCCTTGGACCCACCTTGTTTGTGATCTACATAAACGACATAGATGAAAATATATCAATCCAAATTGTCAAGCTCGTGGACGACACGAAGATATTTGGGAAGGAGGCAAGTCATGGTGTTGTCGCAACAATGCAGAAAGACTTGCATGAGTTGTTCAAATGGTCTCGAGACTGGCAAATGCTCTTTAACATTACAAAATGTAAGACCCTACATGAGAACACGTGGGATACACCAGCCCTAATCACTACTATTCTGTTAATAACACTTTCCTGGATACTGTAGAAAGGGAGAAAGATCTTGGCGTTGTGATAGATTATTCACTGAAGGCAGAGCAACAAGTTGGGGGGGGGGGGAGCCATGAGAAAGGCAAGCGAAGATTTGGGAATAATAAAGCATTCCTTTGAAAACAAAGATAGGTAAAAGCTCCTTCAACTGTATAAATCTCATGTACGTCTCAGTCTGGAATACTGTACACAGGCATGGAATCCCTACCCCAAGAAAGACCTAACATCTCTAGAAAAGGTGCAACATATTGCTACTGAGATGATTCCAGAACTATGTCATCTCCACAATCCAGCATGAGAGGACATAACTACAAACTCTCTATGTTATCATGCAGAACAAACATAAAAAAATACTTTTTCACACAGAAGGTGGTAGAGCTGTGTGGAACTGTCTACCAGCCCAAGCTGTGGAATCAAGAACAGAACTTGGCTTCAAAATAATCCATGATAAAATTATCAAGAACAATGGAGGCCACTGGCCCCTCCCTCTAGTGGGTGACCATTAGGTAAAAAGAGTAAGGTAAATTGTTAATTACTACTACTGCTGTTACTACGACTACGACTAATGTTATAATAATAATAATAAATTATGTGATTAATAATAATTATATAGTTGTGCGAGCTATTGATAAACAATTTGGTGTGAACATACCACTAACTTTCCCTCTCGCACTGAACAGATGGTACACAGCCACTCGCCTGTTTTGTTCTCACTTCCCGTGTACACACGCACACGCACACACACGACTGTTGTGTTTAGACGGTAGTGTCGTTCTGAACAGTTTTTTTTTTATTGGGCACTCCCCTACATCCTTGTGTAAGGTGAAGCGCAGAAGCGTTTACAGCGCCCAACACGGAAGCATGCTAAGTTCATGCTTGCCTTTATGTCTCATGAGTTAAGGGCGTAGAAGTCTGAAGAGTCAAGGGCGTAGAAGCCTGAAGAGTCAATGGTCCTTCATATCAACACCCGAGGACGAGTTACTTCACCACGTGAACACCACACCATACGGTGTCCCCATGACCACGTGAGGTCCTTCATATCAACACCCGAGGACGAGTTACTACACCACGTGAACACCTCACCACCTGATGTCTCCATGACCAGCCCAGGCCCTGGCCATCAACTGCAAACTATAATAATTTGTATGTTCATTTCATGTTCCTTCTCGTTTCAGTAATGAAAGCTTTTGTTAAACGACCCACCCACCCCATGTCTTTGTATATAATAAGTCATTTTTGCCCAATGTATATTTTCAGTCTTCGGGCTGCAGAACTTTTTCAATAAACCGTTAATTATTATTATTATTTTATTATTATTGCAAACCGGTTACTGACTGCAATGCATCTTTTCGGACAGTGCATTGTTCAGTGTCCCTGGACTGAGGTATTAAGTGTGGATGACGTAGAGATTAAATGGAGAGAAGTCCGTCAGTCTACACGCAGCTGTCCTGTTGTGCATGTTGACGACACTGCTGGTCCCGTATCGACCTCTCGAGTCACCCCAGAGCTCACCAACGAAGGTGACATCCCTAATAACTCATATCATTGCATCATAGCTGGATGATCGTCATACTCGATTCTGAGTGTATGTGTGCGTAACTGTGTTTAGTTACTGTTTGTACATAATATTAAGAGACTAATTACTTATCCTTCTTGAGACTTTTGTTAAACTTCTTTATTCATTGTTACTGAAGCCTTTTCTTGTTGTCATAATATTTCGTGACTAACTCAGACGTGTAGTGAAAAACAAGCTCACTATACCGCTGTACCACCAACCATAAGACTGGCATCACCACACACACACACACACACGATACACATTATCCGCACTGACAGATCCCTGAATACTGCATGCGGGAGTGTTGTAAGTCTTGTTATTGTGACTCACAGAGCTTGTTGTCATACCCACTGCTCTTACTCTGGTTGACAATATAGCGGTCACAGGCAGTCTTAATCATCTCTGACCTTCTATTCTAATTAACACTCTGAGCTCCGAATACTACATGGTTGTTTCTTAAGACAGACACAGACGGGGATTCAGATCAAGCTGTTGAGGGATTTTTCTCATGTAAGTCTCCGGAAACACGACAGAGCGACTTTGATTTTGGATTGTCGAACAGAATTCAGAATATTGTAAATAGAAACGAACTTGCAGATGAATTTGAAGCAATATAAACAAGCAGAAACGGACATTAGTTTATCTCTTGTTTACCGTAGACGAAATGTAATCTGCATAACGTATCATGTATAAGATCCTAAAACCTGCAGATGTTCAGACGTCTAAAGTGTGCAGTTTACTTCCATACACATACACATAGCAGACGTACACAAGAACACACACACATCAGACGTACACAAGAACACACACACCAGCTACACAGTTAAACACATGCAAAGGGCATGTAGGACATACTAGAAACAAACACACACACACACACACTGACGGAGCATGAAGGTACAATACCGACTATAGATGCTGGGGGACTGGCCGGTACTGGCTTGACTGCTCTCCCGTACAGTACTAATTGTTGACCACTTACAGCCATTGTGTGATCCAGGATCTTCCCTCCTGCCCGCCATATAATAATAATAATGATAATGACTTATTACATACTAGGATATGGTGTGGGTGGGTCGTTTTGCAAAAGTTTTCATTATTAAAAGGAGAAGGAACATGAATTGAACATACAAATTATAGTTTACAGTTGATGGCCCGGGCTGCTCTCTTGCCCTACTATGTGAGGTTCACGTAGACCACGTGGTGTATTGACTCGTCCTCAGTGGTCATGGAGACACGGGGTGGTGTGGTGTTCACGTGGTGTAGTGCCCCTGTTACCGCAAGCAGTAATGACGCTCCACAAGGAAACACCAGAACATATTAAGCCACCACAACAGCAACACGCGACCTTCTGGAATAAGCAGCACATCATAACAGTATCTCATCACTCACATCACCAGCTCGTCAACCTCTCCAACCACAGTTAAATAAATATCTAAATGTTTGTTTTTCCATTCATATGACTAAAAATGCACAAAAATCTGTTCATTTCGTTTAAATTATTATATATTAGGTCTGTTAATTTGGTTCTAGCTTTGCACTTGATATGTTTGGGAATGTCTATAAGTGATTAAATAATACCAAGGAGGTGTTTTGAGAATGGGAGTGTTTGAGGACTGCAAGGTTGGAGTGTTTTGGGAATAACCCCGAAACACTTTAGTCAGTGTACCACCATTTACAGGGAGGAGCAAGTAGAAGTATTGTCTGAACCTTAGAGTCTTTGACCTTAAACAACAACCCAGAGAGCTTAAAACTGAGCAGCCATAACCTCGAGAGGGGAACCTGGAATGTGAGGATACAAAATGATAGCGGGAAGTATGCAGACGATTACAGGAAGATTAAAAAGTTACAGTGCGACAGTCTACCATTACGTGAAGAAAGATGGACAGGTTTGAATACCACTAATGGAAAAGAATGTAATTTCAAATATTAAGGTAGTGAACAAGATAGAGGTATTGGTAGTTTTATAAAGCAGAAGGTGGCTATTAGACAGTGTAAGACAGTTGAATTAGTCAAGTTTACTCCGAAACTCATGGAATTGGCAATAATTTATAGGAAACGAGGAGAAGATATCTTAGACAATGTAAGATTTAATGGAGGCAAAAAAACTGTGACGTTTAGGTATAATGAGTGATTTTACATGCAAAGCTGAGAAGGGGAAGAGAATCATTAAATAAAAGGCCACAAGGTTGGGTAACATGTAAAGGAGAAAAGATATTTTTTTTTTACAAAGATACAACGATCATACTACAAATACATGGTTTCTACATCACCCAAGGCATTTTTATACGTGAAAAATAATACTGTCAGGAATCAATTATGTTTTTGATGAAGAAAAAGTCAACAATCTAAAACCAAGATTTACCATGATAACTGTCAGTGAACTATCCCAAGCCATCTAACTGTACAGTATCATGGGGAGCGATGCTATTTTAGGAGGTAAATCATATCCTGTTTTTATGCGGGTAGGAGAGCTTGCTTGCTTGCTTGCTTACACATATTACTTATATCCGTGTCCAGACCTTTATTCGTTTATATGATCCTAAATATGTGGTAATCGAGCGGTGGTATGTAGCGCTCGCACACATGCTCAGAGCTCTGTAACTGTACAGAACCCAGTCCAGCCTAGTCGTCTCTCAAAGGTCAACACGCTTGGAAGTGCTACATCATGCTCACAGAAGCGAGTTTCGTTCATCTACAAAACGGAAGGAATGAAAAGTTGTACTGGGTCAGCTTGGTCTGTGCACGTGTCATGAACAACTTAAAACTGTTACCTCTGATAATAATGTTACGTGGTCACATTATAGGCTACACTTCTTCAGTACACATTCCTAACATCACCTGGAGTGTGTGCTATCATATCCTAGGGTTATCTGTCGGTTACACCGTTAGTGAAATCTTTAACTCTTTCAGACGACCTTCAGGACTACAGTAGCTCAGTGTTGCCTTAGTCATATACATATAATGTACACTGCCATCAGACGTCATCATAATCATCATGTTCAATAGTCTTGTGCTAATTACCCACTTCAAACGGTAGGTAATAATAATAATGAAAATAATGATGATTATACGTATTATTATTATTATTATTATTATTATTATTATTATTATTATTATTATTATTATTATTATTATCATCATCAGTGTCATATTTTTCTTTATTATCAACAAATAAGTGAAGATTGGCCTCCATAAATCAGTGTGAAGAAGTTAACGTCATCATCATCAAGACAATGTGTGGCCCAGTAAAACTACCACATCATCACTACTACCACTCTGATCTAACACCCACGGATAATGATGTGATTCTTGAGCCGGCAACATTAAAGAGCAAACGTTCGCGTAGCTTTTCTTCCAGATTGTTTCGTAGTGAAGATATGAGGACCTATAAGGACCCATGAACGACGATTCTTTTTCATGTCCAATGTGTGTGGCGTGGAGGGTGATAATGAAGAGAAGAACCAGAGAAAACACAAACATCTTGACTAGGTTGGGTTTCTTTAATTACTAACGTTTCGGAAATTTTTTTTTCTTCATCAGAGCCGAGAAAACAGACAAAAGGTTTAAATAATTACAGGTAGTATACAAGAAAAACGAAACATTATTCTAAACGTTACCTTCCGCAAAACTTTTCAAAGCTACACTGCATTACCGATTTAAAACCACTAAAATGAGCGGGAGATCTAAGTACAAAACTAAAATCAGAACAAATCAAAACATACAGAGAAAGTTACCTTAAATTGAGACGAGCCTTAGTGAGAAAAACACACAATTCACAGTAATGGTGGTCCTAAAAGAGTCAAAGATCCCAACACAGTAAACAGAGAAAATGTATACAGATATCCCATCCATGGAGATCGCATGAATGCTCGTATTACAAGAGAAACGTTGTCCTCACATGAAGATGCACGAGGTTTCACACGAGGAAAAGATTATAATATACAGGTATTCACGAGAGCTGCACGAAAGTTTGAAAGCAGTATGCTCGCATTTTTATGAGACACCCTGGTAGCCAATTTAAATTGATGGCATGCCATTAGACAGATCTGTAAAAACAATTCTATCAATACTGTTACCGCCACAGTATGATAAACTAGAAGAGAGAGAGAGAGAAGAGATATAGTGTTGACGACGAATTTGCTGAGGTGTTTTAATACGAAACAGATGGACCTCGCCTCCAGGCTGAGATTGCCCTCGGATTGCCCTCGAAGGTAGTCTACAGATTTCTACAGGACAGACAACACGTTGGTTCAGCCCACTAGACCCTAAAACGTGAGTGATCGTGAAGTATTAGAATCTGCTAAGAAATCCTAAATAACTTTAATAAGTATATTTATGTACTGTAATTTGATCATATTATACAAATTGTCTCCTGATCTATCAACAGTTATAACATGTGGGTTATATTTAAGATGTTAACAGGCTATGTACTGTATATTGATTGTATTATTCATACTATGTGTCCTGAGATAACAGCATTTGTTATATGTGAATTGTTCTTTGACAGGTTTTGACCGAATTATATGGTATGAGTCAACGTTGAGGGTTTATTTCTCCAGCATCAAACCAATAACGCTCCTTATCAAGCCTACTATTTATTTTTTTTAGCCGTTCGGGTGGTTGGTTCGTTCTTTGTTACTTTGTTATGAACTTATTGTACAGTGTTGATTTAAAGGGGAAACCAGAGGAAACCTGTGATGTTTGGACGAGGGGTTTGCAGTATACAATAGTGGAGCAGGAAGGTGGCCTGCTCACTTAGGTAAGGAATGGTCTGTAAATGGATCAAAGCCCACAATGATAAAAGTATTCGCGATCAACAATTTACAGTAACGACAGGAAACAGACAATTTTCGCTGTATAACATCTGTTCGATGTAAGCGTCCTGACAACATGTGTAGTGGTAGGGAGGAGAGAGGGAAGGAAAGGGGAGAAGTCGAAGGAAGCAATGTGAAAATCAGGCACCAAAGAATTGAAAAGTAACTTCACTGTGAAAAAATCAGTGAGTTTGTTGTGTGGAGTCGGGGGTAAGAATATCCTGGCAAAGTGGGGAGGGAGAGTAGGAGAGGGGCTGAGGCCGCGAGGAGTCGGGTAGCGTGAGAGGGGTCGTGTTGCCGTCAAGACCTCCGACCAAGTCAGTGGCTGTTCAACCTTCAGCTCAGTCGACTGAGAGTCGTAGTGTGGAGCGGTTCTGGGTTGCGTTCTCTCGTTAAATTGCCTAGCGGCGTGTTGGTCGGTTGTGCAAGTTATTTGGGGTTTGTTGAGTGATGGTGTCCCGCCGAAGATGATATAACGAATGGTGCTGAGTAGCAGAATCAACAGGAATATGAATGTCTATCACTTAGAAGGTAAGGGTTATATGTCCTTTCGTTATCTCAAAGTGATCTCAATACAGACAGGCATGGGTCAGTCAGCTTGGAGGCGCACAGCTTAACCGTACATAACCCAGTTTCTCTAATCCTTACCCTGCCCTTCGTGCTATAAGGATTTAATGAGTTCGTAGATGAAGTCAATTTTTTTACCCAACAAAATAAAAAGCATGAAGTGACTGATTGCCATGTGGCTTAATAATTAATTTCATATTAAAATGCAGTTACTTATACTGTTGCTATGATATATTTTCAACCGAGCTGGAGATTTTAATAGCCTTTTACTCTTTAGTTTTGTTTTACGTTGGAGCCTGTTTTAACATTCTTGTTCTTATAATATATGTTCGGTAGGTGTAGGATCTTTGAGCTTCGTATATATCGTCTTATATCTACTCTAAACAACAACTTTCATAATTTACCAGATACTGTGGGCATTAGGCTACCTATGGATGTCACTGTAATAATGGGTTAATGTAATATGTTGTTGATAACCTAAATTGTGTATAAGCTGTGTCTTAATTTTTCTGTCTTATTTATAAATACTGTAAATAGGATGATATTGGTGATTTAAGTAGAATGACTTATGTGACTGAACGATTTAAATGACGGTAATTTGATTGAAAGGTTGTGTACGCTGTGGCCTGACGAATTTCTACAATTTTCCTTGTGAATTATGGTTCATCACTCATCACTTCAAAATGATGTACAATTTGTGGACTAAAACTATAATACCGTTGTATGAAACGAGTCTGACTGGGAAAGAGGGTGTGGAGTATGAGGTCATTCATTTGTTGGGGGAGGGCGAACACCTTCTGATGTCATGGGTCAACCTTGACTGCTGCTCTTACAGTCTGTCGAAATACACAAGGAGCCATTTTCCTCCATTGTTCTTACACGGTTACATCCCCAGATGCTGTTGTACCTGGGGCAGGTGAATTCTTACACCCCGGGTGCCGTTTTTGCACTAGGGGGCCGTTCTTACACCCAGGGTGCCGTTTTTGCACTAGGGGGGCCGTGCTTTCACCCAGGGTGCCGTTTTTGCACTAGGGGGGCCGTTCTTACACCCCGGGTGCCGTTTTGGCACTAGGGGGGCCGTTCTTACACCCCGGGTGCCGTTCTTACACCCTAGAAGCCGTCCTACGAAGCGTAATGATTTCTAAAGATTCTTGGATAATGTAAATAACGGTGAAACTACTACGGTAATAACGATATATCGTTATTTCAGCTCAGCCTAATAAAAAAAGTAACCTCAGCTGAGGAAAGTCACACTTTGTAGTGACTTAAACTTGTAACATTGAAAGGCTTTACTTACTTTATTTTGTGTATGAATATTATATTATTTAAAGAGAGTTTGCTTTTTCTTTCAATATTGTAACATCCTGGGGGTTTTCTAAGTGTATTTTTGTTCAATTCAATTCAATATGAGTTTATATGTCTTGTCCCTATTACTAGCTAAGTATACCTTGGTGAGCTTCACTATATACCCGTATCATTAAAGAGAAATTACACTAAGTTTACCGCGCCCATAGTAACCGCCCGCAGGATTACCCAAGCTTATCAACACAACCCAAGCAAAACTGAACTCCATAGCTAACATTTTCTTGTTGCTGTAAGGAATATATTCTGAGTGGCCAGTTACTTCTATGGGGGTGGAGTTTATCTCGTGGTTCTTGGTGTAGGGTATCTGGTGCCCCTCAGTGGGTGACGAATGATAACGAATTGGCAACTATTCCCTGCTGAAAGTTTTACAGAACACAAGCTCAAATTTCCTGCCTTTCCCTCTAGTTACAACGGTTGGGTATCGTGGGCATGTAGTAGGCCTCGTGGTGCAAGGGCGTGAGCTGTGGGTGTCCCTTTTTTACAACATGGTTCTAAACTTTCATTCTAGGACCAAGAATGAAAGTTTAGAACCAGTTTTACAGGAATGCTGGAGTGGAATGACGATGCTTTATACACATAATGCAGTTTTATTTCAGTGATAATTGTTGTTGTGGGACCCAGAGAATATACATTAGACGGTTTTGGGACAAATACTACCTGAGCCGCGTTAAGACTTAGAGGAACGAGCTAGTTGAAGTTTGTTCACGGCAGTAGTAAGAAACTGTTAAGTAGTTTTGTCAGTGTTTTGTACTGTCTTGTTATAATAAGGTTGAAACAAACGAGTCATCGTGGCGGAGATGGACGGTTACCAGTAAGAAATATCGAGGATCGTTATATTAACCAGACGACAGTCGTGGTGCCATATAATTTATCTCGTTAACTTTTAACTCTTTGAAAAGCATCGGTAATGATCACAATTTAAAATAACTGTTTACGGGTTATAAGAGGATGCACCTGGGGCGTACCAACGGTAAGGAGGCATACCATATGTCCCAACGGGATGAAGAAAATGTACTAGTTGAAACTGTGTGTGAGAAGGACCTAGGTGTGTATGTTGACAATGAGCTGAAGTTCTCGGGCCATTGTGAGAAGAAGGTAAATCAGGCAAATAAATTATTGGGTCTTATAAGAAGGTCGTTCAGATATCTAGACGGTCCGTCCCTCGTGACGATCTTCAGGAGTGAAGTGCTTCCCCATCTGGAGTACTGTCACCCCATCTGGTCCCCGAGATATGCTAGGGACTGTCAGTTGGTTGAAAATGTTCAAAGGAGGGCCACCAAACTGGTGCCTGCACTTCGGCATCTCAGCTACCCTGAGAGATTGGAGCGCCTGAACTTGCCTAGCTTATACTACAGACGGGCAAGGGGGGACCTAGTTGAGGTTTATAAGCATCTCAGGGGGCACTACTCAGTTGAGTGTCCTTACTTGGAGCTGGCGGACGCTCGCCCCACAAGGGGTCACAGCTCAAGATTGAAGAAGCCGCAAGTCCAGAAAACCGTGAGGGCAAACTTTTTCGGAGTGAGGTTGTAAACTCTTGGAACAATCTACCAGAGAGTGTTGTGACGGCACCGAGTGTGAGCTCTTTCAAGACCAGACTTGACCAACACTGGAGCGGGTTCAGGTACATTCAGGAGCCGGTGCATGCCCAGTATTTGCCAACAGTGCGTGACAGAGACGTGACCGATCGCCCGGGCGGCTAGCGAGCCGACCTTTTGGTGAAGAATATAAAGGAAAAGAGACGTGACCGATCGCCCAAGCGGCTAACAAGCCGATCAGTGGCGAAGAGGATAAAAGTAAAAGTAAGTAAAGTAAAATAATCGGACCAAATAAACATTGTTTTTCTGGGATTAAAAACCCAGATTCAAATTAATGTACACTGTTACAAAATTCCAGCCTTATGCACGTACATGCATAATAAAACAGGTGATACAAGAATAACATAGAAGTGGCGCAACAATGTGAAATCATTATTTTGTGGGAACCGTTTTCTACCTTGATGAGGGTATTCATTATTATCGGCTAAATGGTTACTGGCAGAAATATTATCATTTAACAATATAAGGAACACCTGCAGATTATTCCCCAGCTTATTTCATCTTAACATTAATCACCATAATGCTAACTTAACCTGATCCCCCCAGGTAGCGTTAAGGCGTTGAATCATTAGGTGAAAGAAACGTGTGGGGGCTATCCTAATCCAGACTATTGCGGCTTATAGTCTATACATTCATAAATAAAGGAGGTTCCCAGAAACACAATAAACAACTAAGACAACATTTAGTCTGTCAGGAAGTTGTGCCAGACTTGTGGAAACAGGCGAATGTAGTACCCATATTCAAAAAGGGAGACAGAGCATCAGCGTCAAATTACCGGCCGATCAGTTTGACGTCAGTAGTGGGGAAATTTCTTGAATCAATTATAGCAGATAGCATCCGATCGCATTTAGAGAAAAGCAAATTAATCTACGACTCTCAACATGGGTTTACAAAAGGAAAATCTTGTCTAACAAATCTGCTGACGTTTTTTAGGAAAGTCTTCGAGGTAGTAGATAATGACGAAAATTACGATGTTATTTATTTAGACTTTAGCAAAGCATTTGACAGAGTACCGCATCAGAGGCTTCTGAGAAAAATTAAGGCTCACGGTATCGAGGGGAAAGTTTTAAATTGGATAAAATCATGGCTCACCGATAGAACGCAGAGCGTCAGCGTAGATGGTGTTAAATCTGAGTGGGGCTGTGTAACCAGTGGGGTTCCCCAGGGGTCAGTACTAGGCCCACTCTTGTTCATAATCTACATAAACGATCTAGATACTGGGATCAGCAGCGACATGAGCAAGTTTGCGGATGACACCACAATAGGGCGGCAGATTAATTCAGGGCAGGATGCAAATGCACTACAGGAGGATTTAAATAAACAGCAAGGGTGGTGTGAAAAATGGCAAATGAAATTCAACACCAGCAAGTGCAGCGTACTTAATATTGGAAGAACAAATACTGTCAATGTATACAGCCTTAACGACATCAACCTAGATAAGTCGACTTGTGAAAGAGACCTAGGGGTACTTGTAAGCCCGGACCTACGGCCTAGAAAACAGTGCGTTAATGTTCGAAATAAGGCAAACAGAGTATTAGGTTTTATATCTAGAAGTGTAAGTAATAAGAGTGCAGAGGTCTTATCGCAACTATATCTTGCGCTAGTCAGGCCACATCTCGATTATGCGGTTCAGTTCTGGTGCCCATATTATAGAATGGATATCAATTCACTGGGGTCGGTGCAGCGAAGAATGATGAAAATGATTCCGGGACTTAGAAACTTACCATATCAAGATAGGTTAAAGAAACTAAACTTGCATTCCCTAGAAAGACGAAGAGTGCGGGGAGATGTGATAGTAGTATTTAAGTGGGTGAAAGGAATCAATACAGGAGATATAGATAAAGTTCTTATAATATCCGAGCAGGATAAGACTCGGAGCAACGGATTTAAGTTGGATAAGTTTAGGTTTAGGAGGGAGATAGGAAGGAACTGGTTCACAAATAGGGTGGTGGACGAGTGGAACAAGCTTAGCAACTTTGTAGTAAGTGCTGGAACGCTGGAAAG